ATTTTGGAAATTTGTGGCATAATTTCCTATAATGTACTTTACGGAGATATCGAACATGGGTGTGGCAGGACGGGTTTTGTAGATTCCTGCTGGTTGTGGCGGTGCTTCAGAAATTATTTTATATCCTAAACCATATAGTTAGGTTCGGCCGTCTCCCTGCACCCATGCTTCGTATGCTTTTTCGTCCTTCCTTGGGAAGATGGTGACCATGGTACACCAGCCATTAGAAGCATGTCAAGACAAAGCGTGGCGAGTGCACTGGAAGAAATAACTGTGGTTTGATGTATGTACCTAGCTGATCAAGTTGTTAAAGCAAGGGAATCTCGGCAGCGGTCTCTTAGTGGCTGTTTTATATACCGTAAATCGCTTGTCTTGTAAACTATATAATCGGTTGAGGAGAATAGAGTGTATGCGTCTTCGGATGTTATCCACGTAATACACTAATCATAAGGCTGATGAAGACATTTCGGCATCCCACGAACGATTCCGCTCTCATCAGTTAGACACACTCTCCAAGTTTACATCAGTCTTACGTCGTATTTAAACCATAAGCCAGAGGTTTAGCTGGATATCTGGTGAGACTCCCCGTCAAAACCGAACCGAGCAGCAGACGAGTTTATTAGTTATTCAGTAGGATAACTCTGATCCATTTTCTGACAAGAATCCCTCCAGCTTTTTCATGCCCTTGGTTCACCTGTAAGTAGTATAAACATAAGTCAAGTAGTAAATATGGAACGTTGATCTTCCCTTATGCCCTTTTCTTGGTAATCCGGTGATCACTCATCTAGAACAGACATCTCAGCGAAGAAGCTTTTATTATATTCTGTATATCCATTTCATCGCTAAAGCAAACGATAAAGTAATCAAGGGAACGCGAAATAGAATGGAAGCAATAATACAAACACTGGGATCGCACGTGTTTCAGCTCTCTCTGACAGTCGTTTGTAGTGGGGTGAGCAGACAGTTGTTTGAATGATAGATGTTGGAGAGCATGTGTTATTCGCTTGAGAGGACGATAGCCAGTCAGTCATGCGTAGTGCGTCAAGTGGGCTGAGCCACGCCCAAAGCAGTACTTGCCCAAACTTCTTACGAATGCCAATGAATGTGGATCGTCTTGTTTGCAGCTGCGTACAATGCTCTAATTCTCTTCCTTCGTGAAAATCACGAGTCAGTTTGACGCATAATGGTATGTGCCATACCGGGATGAACTGAATCTCCTGTCTGTGGCAAATGGAACAAAATCCAAATGGTTACGGAATCGCGTCAGTCCTTTGGTCGACTGAGAAGGAACGTGCTCAAACGCCTGCAGTTCTGTGAAGAAGAAAGTAAAGTAATGAACGCGCATACAGTTGGATCTAGGGAAGACGGATGGTCCCTAAGGATTTGTCCTAGCATAGGAATAGTGGTAAAGAGGAGGCATAGTTTGTCAGCAAGAAGTATACGTTCCAACATCGTGGTGAGTTTCTACTTTAAGAACTCTTTTACCACGTCACCCTTAAGTGGTAGGCGGTGCATCGGGGTCAACGGCTTTTTCGTAGTCTGTCTCGTACTTTGCCGTAAACACTCGTCTGAATAACCACTGCCTAGCAAATTGTCAAATATGTTATCATGTGAGCCGGATGGGATATCTGGTATTCAGATCTTTCTTGCAATGTTATGCAGAAAACGCACCAAGTCTTTCAGCTTTAGAAGAACGAAACCGGCAAATTGGGTTTATCGAACAAACCTGTACGGCAGTGAAGCATCTGTGCCAACACTGATGTTGCTGTCTTTGATGATGATGACCACATTGCTAACCTCAACAGCGCACTGTGTGAGCTTATACGTAGGGTACTTGAAGTCCACAGCTGTGTAGACGCGGAATATAGGTCGGTATTAATGGCGAGCAATATAGTTTCGCCCCAAGATGCTCCGCTTGACGAACATAATTTTTCGTTGTCATCAAATGGTAGGCAAGGAAATAAGAATTATCCAACAAAGTTGAATGAATATATGGGTTAAAATATTTGGGAAGGGGAAGCAACAACAAGGGAGAACGTGGCGATGGATTAGCGCCCATGACAGATTTGTTTGTACCGTACATTATATTGATCCTCCTGGTAAACTAATATGCAAATAACGCCAACGCAGGTGAAGTCATCGTCATCAGTTTTAAGAACCGCATACTTGCCATGTCGTGGTTATAGTAACAACAATTTCGTCCGCCGATGACTTGAGAAGAGGTAGACAGTTATGTACTAGGGGCGGTAACTGACATAATTAATGCGTCAACACAGTTTTAGCAGCGCGCTTTTAATTGGGAAGAAAACTGCGCGTTAAAAGCAATAGCTCGGATGCACGACCGCCATTGAGGGCGGAACCGGACCATGTCTTACAATGCCTCTAATTATTGATATATTCTGACTCGGGGTCTCCATCCAGGAAGACGGCAATGACCAGCGCAGCTGAATTTGCTGACAATGGATCTCTTATTTCACTACTAAGTCATTGTTTGACCTTCCCTGGCTTATTTCCACCCTCC